ATGGAAAAGAGCTGACACAGTGGCAAGGCATTTTTCACTTGGCTCTCGTTGGCACACTCAATTACCACCTAATGTCCTTACTTGAGCACAATTTACGCAAACATTTGGATGAGGATTTGGAGGGACAGGGGCTGGGAGACAGGAGATAGGAAAGTGGGACCCGAATTCCAATTGCCCCCGCTCTGCTGCGTACATGCTGCCAACTGAATGCAACATGAATTCACATACTGCAATTTTGGCTGCTGTTGCCTACCCTACAAAAAGAGTAAAAATGATATTTTTCTGCGATTTGTTGGCTCTGAGAGCATACTGTAATGACTTTGCCTTTTTCAGATTTGTTTTCTGTCTGCACGAACAAATTACACCCATTTTTTTGCTGTTTTAAGTTCTGTTTATGCTTTTCATTTACGCTGCAGTCATAGAAATCTTATGACTAAAAAAGTTAATTATTTATTAAAAAAAAGTCTTTCATTTTATAATTTTCTTTTTATAGAAAATAACGTAATAAACCTAACTTTTTTAAATTCAAGAAAATATTTTTTTAGTGTAATTTTATTTGAAAAATTGTTTTGTTATCAAAAAATTAACTACATTTTCGATAAAGACAGGCTTACAGACTCTTACTTATATTAATTGATATACCAGTTCAAAAATTAAATCGTAAAAATTTTTGACTGATCCGAGTTTGATTTACCGGAGCAGTGCTGCCATCACTTAGCTTGAAAAACAGGACAGATAAGCCACAAAAAACAGGGAAAAAAAGGACAAAAAATTTTTAAAAAGGACAAAAAAAAGGACAAAAGTAAATGTTCCTACATTTTTTTGTTTTTACCAATGGGTTATATATTTACTTAATATAAATGGATTTTAAATAAAATTCAATTATGTTATGATCTACTGCGCCCGACTCACGACCATCTTTGTTTGATCATTTTACCATGGTAAATTTTTGTGCGTATACGTAATAATCTAAAATTATTAAAATAATTAATGCATATCAAGTAACTATATTCGTAATACAAAAAAATTAAATATCTGCGTCAAACCCGAAAAAGAGTCGTTCAAATCTGAATTTTTTTCTGACAAAAAAGCAGAGAGTAAAAATTAAGAAATTTTAAAAGTGCTTTCCTAATTTTTTTGCTACAGAAAAAATCGTACTATAAAGAAAATCTATCGACTGCTTTACGTCTCTTTGATAATTTGTAAAAAGAATTTTTTTTTAAGTGCCGAACTGAAAAAATGATGGTTAAAAAGGCATTTTAGCATATAAAAACAGGTTTATACACTTTCGACTAGCAAAAATAACACTCAAAACCTTATTTTTGAAAAAAGGACAGATTTCCGGATAGGGGATGTTTGAAATTTTTTCCGGATAAAGCCGTTAAAAAAAGGACAGATCTGTCCGGAAAGAGGACAAAATGGCAGCACTGTACCGGAGATAGAATATTTAAAGGAGATTTATAAAGGGCCCCTTAAAATTTTTTACATAGTAGAATTTTTGTTAAACTTTATCAAATAAAAACACCTCTTAACGAGGTAAAAAACTAGTGACGATCGCACCTTCAACATACAAAAGTTCTGATATCAACATTTGTGACGAAAAATTATTACACTCGTCATTAAATAGACTTTCTAATATTTTCTCATTCGGCCCGCCCTAGCAAACTATTCTAGCCTTTTTCCTCTCACAGGCGTTTTCTATTGCAGCGTGCCGAATGAGAAAATATTAGAAAGTCTATTTAATGACGAGTGTAATAATTTTTCGTCACAAATGTTGATATCAGAACTTTTGTATGTTGAAGGTGCGATCGTCACTAGTTTTTTACCTCGTTAAGAGGTGTTTTTATTTGATATCAGAAGTTTTTGTTTGTTTACATTTGCTCTCATGGGAGCTAGTATATACATTTAAATTTAAATTGGTCAATCATAATTTGTAAGCCATTGTATTTAAACAAATTAAGTTAAAAAGGCGTTTAAGTATTTCAAAATACCTTTAAAACGAGGTATAGCACATTTCTGTACCTTTAGTAGTGTAGAACTTAAAATCTAACGAAATTTAGCTATTTTTAGCTTTTTTTCCCGCTAAAGTAGCGGCTTTTTCCAAAAGTCGTAGAACAAAAGATTCCTATATGGAACTCTTAAGTGCAAATTTACTGATTCCATGACCCTAAAATACAGTTCGAATACCCTCACACAAAATTCAATACTCAGGGAGCGTTAGTAGTTCGAGCTTGCAAAAGTGGCTATTTTCGTATAAAAATAACTTTTAAACGTGACTTTTTACAGTAATGTGTTATATACCAAAATTTAAGGAATCTCAAGGGCTATACAGTTTAAAGTTGTAAAGAAAATCGTTAGAGCCGTTTTTGAGAAAATAGCTAAAAAGTGATTTAAAAAAACAACTTTTAGCCATAAATTTTAAACTATTGCATTAAGCCAATTTTACCCAAGGCAACGCGATTAGCATTTTAAATTACCTTTTTAACGAGATATAGCACGAGTCTGTAACTTTGGTCGTTTAGAAACTATAAGCCGTCAAAATCTAGCTTTTTTCAATGATTTCCCGCCAAACTAGCGGGTTTTTCCAAAAGTTGTAGAACAAACGTTGTTCATATCCTGCTGCTAAGCACAGTAAAATTTAGTTCAGGACCCTAAAACCACGATTTGATGCATACCCACAAACAAAGGGACAAATTATTTCATTTTGGGAAGAAGAAGAAAATCTTATTTTGGCTATAACTTTTGAACGGAGCATCGGATTTTATCATATGACCCCTCATTCGACGGGAATTTTCAATAGAAAAACTACTAAAACATTGCGAGGGGGCATTTATCCCCACCGGCCCCAACAGCTCCAAATTTCGAAATTTTCACTTTTTTACTTTCACCGCTCTCTCTCCCAAGCCAATTGATTTTCTTAAAGTCTTGGTATGCAATCCTGTTAGTTTTCGCAATACCTTTCGATAGGTGTATCATTCATTATGATCGGACCATCACAGTAGATTTTCATTTCTTCGTGTATATATAGTAGTCGCCTTCGCACACTCTCCTGGTGCGCTTCGTCACTACATGGACTGCCGTCCATAGTGATTGCTGATAGAGCCTAATAACATTTGTAAAATTTTTCTCGAATTTTTTAATCTTCTCTATTCTTTTAATTTTATTTGTAAATATTATCTATTCTATCTAAACTAAATTTGCATTTATTAAAATGGAATTGAAGATGTATTGAAATGTGACAGGATTATCCATTTTAAAAAGCCCTATTCGGCTTTTGTGTTAGTAAGAAACCCTTGAGGCAATTAAACAGAGTCGAAAGGAAAGCTTTCATTGCACTAGCTGCTGGTTCTTAATTAAATCAGTATCAGGGAAATCAATTTAGACGCAGAAGCCCCAGCAAATGCCAGTTTTCATTTGTCTCAGGCTTAGGGCTCCTTAGCGGCTGCAAGTACACAGTCAAACTCAAAGCTGCTTGGCTCATTAAAGCGCCAAACAATTTCCGTATTTCCGTTCCGGAAGTCGTCAACAGCGCGACTCTTTTCACTTTCTCATTTTTCCCACTTCTTTTTTACCATTTTCTTGGAAGGCATTTAAAATGCAGTCGGATGAACAGAAGAAGTCAAATGAACATCGCAGCAAGTAATGAAAGGAATTTACGATGCAATTCAGGTGAACTCCTTGAGCTCCCGGACATAAAGGTGTTTGTTTATACTAAGTCGGTTTGGAATTTCAGTTGGAACTCGAAGGCAAAGTGACGTATTGTTAAATGATTTGTGTTTCGATTAATTAAATCAGAGTGTTATACCAAGAATATACAGTTATAGAAAAATAGAGCTACTATACCCAGAAAAGAGGACCGATTTTTTATATCTGTTGTTTCTAAGATAAAATAGTCCACATAATATTGATTTTTAAAAATAGGGGGGTCATGAACGAGTCACGATATCAAAATTTCTTAAGGCATCTTGAAATATGAAGACGTTACGATTCAACAGTGTTAATTACTCGACAGTCCTCATGTTTGCGTATGTTTGATGTACATACTATGTAGTGTGTTTGCATGCGGGCGTCTATTAATTAGAGCACGTACACAAACCCAGAGAGCAATAATCAAAGCTGCAAAATGAGGAGGAGGAGGCGGTGAATGTTATGATATTGCCAACTGCACTCGCGTAATTAGCAACAAAGCGTAGTGCATATTAAAAATAGCTGCCAGCAAAGATATGAACATATAGCAGTGTTTGCGCGCGTGGCAAATGGAAAATGATAATTTCTTTTTTAGGCAAGTGGCGCTCATGTCCGCATTGGCAGACAAATGTTTTAATTATGTTCATTATTAAAGGCGGCTTAATTAAAAAGTCCACTTAAACAGTCAGTAGACTTGCGTAGGCAGAATGTCACGCTTTGCTGTGAGATTTGCAGGCAGCCAAGTTTAATTGCCGTAGGACATAGGAGACGTGACTCTGTCGTTAATGAACTGAAGCTGTTCCTGGTTTTTTCTATCTCTTATAGTCAAAAAGGAATGTTGGCATCGACAAGACATCTAGCAGATTTTTTAATTTCCAACCTGCGCAAGTCCTTTCGATCTCTATGGAGGGAATCAAGATTTCTATAAATTACAAATTGGTCTCTTTGTAAAAGTTCCATAATTTAGAAGACGAAATAAAGTAAATTTCAATCTTTATTTGGAGCGAGGAATATTTTTTTTTCATTAACAAAATGTGGAATTTTTTAATTTTTGTCGTATTAAATTTTAAATATATTATGCACAATTAAACATTCGTTTTTGTACTTAATTGTCGAATTGTCGAAATTGTCGATGGTGAGCGGGTATAGTCAAAGCAAAATACTGAAGAGGATTCCTACTTTATAAAGCAGCATGCATGCTCTTTAGTATGGTATAGTGCCTCCATTAAACACGAAAGTCTTCAAGAGATTATATTAGTTTTTACTGTTTGAACGAACTAACTTCCCCCTTACTCGTCCTTCTTTCCTTGCAGCTGCGCTCATTATTAGCGGCTTGAGGAGTCGACATAACACGCACATAACGATGATGATGATTCAGACATCGAGGTCCTGGCAACAGGAATCGGAAGTGGAGCAACGAAAACAACATAAACAACGATGGCGAACTGATGGAGCAAACATATCAGCGGCTTACGACCGTTACAGTGATAATGACGATGGCAACCACGACGGGGTGGTGCATAATGAAAACAACGTCAGCCAAAACAGCTCAACGAATTTTAGCACTTCCGCCATCCGACAGCGAGAACCGCAGCTCCCACCCACCGGACAGCAGAAACAGAAGCTCCGGATAGCCTTCGCCGGACCGCACTCCTCCGTCTCCGGCTGGACAATGATGCTTGCCCTCCTCTCGATTTCTGCCCTGACATCCTCCGCCAATGTCTCAACCACCACCAGCAGTTTGCCCATCAACATCAACGGCAGCACCGATTACACACTCCTCTTCGGTGACTCCACCACCCCGGTGATTCCTTCTCAGACCACAGGGATCTCCGGGGTCGGAAGTGAGGCGGATATCGAGGACGAGGAGGACGCCGAGAGGGCCAGCGAGTATATCTTCGATCGCACCGACATCCGCATAATATTCATCACTCTTTACACATTGGTGTTTTGCTGCTGTTTCTTTGGTGAGTAGGAAAATTTATTACAAACATGTTTGGGTCACATTGCAGTGAAGATGGTATCTCCGATCATATAAAATGTACTTTATGTAATTCGTTTAAGCTATACCCGTTTCTTGTAGGGTACTCCTATTTGATATGATGGCACTTCAAATCGATATGCTCGAAATGTAAAGTTTGAATTTCGAATGTATATTTCTCCATCCCAATTATGTAACTTGTATAGTACTCAAACCAACAAAAAGTAGTCCAAAACAAAAAGCTTCATATGAAACACAATTTTTTGACGTTTTTTTCATATGAAGTTTTTTGTTTTATATACCAGAAATTTACCATACGCATATTGATTTGTCAGCAGAGTGATTTTACTATCTGAGTGTATTGCCTTACATGGTTCCTTACCTTTACAAAGATACATAAATGTGTTGCTCCCATATTCATTAATCAGGCCCTTGCCCAATGTTATGTTTTATTGAGCTATATGCTGTGCTTGATAGGGCACAAAGGCCAACCGAATCACGGATGAAAGCCGGGAAAAGTGACTGCCAACGCGTCGGTTGTTTGCGGTGTCCCTGGGGACCGCATTGCGGGTCGACGAGGATACACAAACCTACGGCTGACTTGCCAATTACTCAATGCCCTGCTGTTCGCTTTATGCTAGCTTTTGTCCATTCTGCCAAACCACATTAAGCCACTTCCAATCGTTTCGCATTTTTTTTTTTTTCCCCAACCCTACTTAGTTTTTTCGGGGACTACTTGAATGCCTTGTGTCAGTGATTTCATACATAAGGTTCAATTAACTCCAATTCCTCCTAGGACAAGGAAGCGACTAGTGCATTAGAATCAAGAATCAACTTGTGGCTCTGGGTTAATGCCAATAAATAATAGTACACCAAAAAAACTTGATATGAAACGATGATCGATTTGATGTTATTTGGTATCAATTTTCACTTGATTTGCTGGCACCTCAAATCGATATGCTTGAAAGGTAAATTACAGGCCAGTTAAAATTTTAAATGTGTCTTACTCCCTTATGATGATCTAAACCATAGAAAATGAAAACCAGTGTGTATGTCCTTTGGCTTCAAATGACATTATTCGATTAGTTTAACAACTGTCAACTTTCGCAATCCAATTGTTCTGCATGTGAAAGAGCGTTCAACGGGCTCAAGCTGCTTAATACAACAAAAATGTCCCAGGACTCTTTCACCAAACTAGAGTAATTGGTTTTTACGATTTCAAAAAAAGTTTTTATTTTATAAAAATCAGAACTTTGTGTAGAAAAAGTTCAACTAAATTAAACAAAAGCCAAAGCGTTTGTGTCTAGCAAAATTTATCTGATCAGCACTCAATCGCCCCTTGTGGCACATTAAAATGAAAGCGTTTAATTGATAGCACTCATTAGGCCATTTGTTATTTGTTTTCTGCAATGCTTAATTGCAGACGCACATAAATATGGGATGTCCCTTAACTTTGCGTCTTATCTGGCTCCGGGCGGTTAGAATCAATTATGTCGTTCGATTGGGCGTTTGCGGGTGTTGACCAATCTGGGTGTTGGCCATTGTCAGTTGTAGGCTTTATGACCCGCAGTGACACCAGCATCCCCAATAAAAGAGAGGAACATGTGTACTCGCCATTCCGAGCGGCGACAAACAGCCGCCCATTAGACACAGACATGGGGGCGTGGCCGGCTATTGTGCGGACAATTGCAAAATGTAAGCAACTTACATAGTTGTTTTCACAGGCGACTGGAATGTGGGCAGAAATGGGGCGAGTTGTGTGGAATTTACATGGTGCAGTCACGTTTAAGCCTTCTGTTTGGATATTTGTTTGTTGCCTGTCACTTGAACAAGTTACTTTATTGTCATTTTTGCTGCCTTCCACAAGCGGCAAGTGCGAATGTTTGTATCCTCAACTAATTGCTAAAGGCTTAGGAATGGGACACCAATATTAAAAGTATTTCTGAGTTAAATTATATTGGCGTTTTTGGGGTGACGAACTATCTTTTATAAATAAAACCTCTTCGAGTATTATTTACCCAATACTCAACTAACTAATTTAACTTATTAAGGTTAAGCAACTATCTATCTGAGCAAAGTAACATGAACACTAGTCATATGTTTCCGTTTGTCAATCGACAAATATAACTAGAACCATGTTTATTTTAAGCGTTTTCAATAAGATAAAAACTAATATTAGTGTTTTTATGTTTTTTTCGACTTCCTTTTTTAGCCTATAAATTGAACGAAATTTATAATTTCACAAGAAAAAATCTTTTGTAAGACTAAATTTTTATTGCCCACGTGTCGTATGAGTAATTTTTAAGATAACTTTGAGACCAATTCTCAACAATTATAAAATACAATTTTGCAGTTTTCGAATTCAATTGTTGCTTACTAAAGTCAACAACAAATTTATATTTAATGGCGAGAATACAATTTTTATATTTGTTTTAAAGATTAATACACTTTCTAAAATAGTTGTCGAAATCTACTATGGTTTTTTTGTTAACGCAAAAAGAAGTAGTTTTGATTTAAAAACCTTTTTGTAAAAAACATAAGACATTTCCATTTTCCTATAAATATCTTTTTACCATTTTGATCCGACTTTCATACAATTTAAGTCGTAGTTCTAAAACCTAATTAAAAGCTATACATAAAATAAGGCTTTCGCCCCATATATATATTTGTGTTGTCGTATATACACATGTTTTGGTTGGTTCTTAAGCCCACTGCTGTTTTTCCTTTAAATTCTGATGCAGTCCGCTCTCCTTAATATCGAATTTCAGAGCACGCCTTGGAGTGTTACACGTTTTTGGTATTTTTTGGCAGCTCATCTCTCCCATGCTTTTTGTTTTCCTTTTTTCTTCTCCCATTTCCTGTCACCCTGCCCGGTGTAATTAAAAAAGTTTTTCTCGACATTTGTTTGCCATGTGAGGCCCCAAAATAAATGTTACGTTCTGGCCCATTCTATTGTTAAAAACTTCAAGTGCAATACAAATTACAGACCAAGGCATGACTAAAAGATTATTGTGATACATATTTAACCTTTTATCGTAAATTAAAACAAATGGTCTTTCTCACTAAAAGTTTAAAGCCGTAAATGGTTTGTTATTATTGCCACTTAAGTCAATGAATGGTGCACTAGTTAGTTTTCAAGGACCCAAAAGCACAGTTGTTAAGCTTAATAATACAAAAATTCCAAATATTTTGATTATTTGGATTGCATTTAATGGCCAAAACTGTTATCAAAGAGCATGGAATATTAATGAAAATTCGCAGAAGTCCTGAATTTGTGTGGAAAATGCGGCTAAAGTTCATTTCGCATGAGTAATGCGAATTAAACCACGCTCGAAATGACCCTTATCTAGGCAAAGTTAAATTGTGGTATTACTGCAATTTAAGCCCAGATGCTGAATCAGTTAAGCTTTAAAGTGAATTTTTGACCGCAGTCACCATTTACGGTATTAGTGGTCAATTTGGTCTAATTAACGGCCTGGGATAGATGTGTTTCGGAACTTTAAAGGGGGTTTCAAAAGAAAATTAATAAAACATTTATAATGTAGCTCTCATAATTTTTTATCTCTTCCAGCATTTGTCTTTTTTAATAATGGCACCTATTTTCCTGTTTACTTTCAGGTAACTTACTTGTCATTTTGGTGGTCACTTTATCGCGACGACTGCGCTCAATCACCAATTTTTTCTTGGCGAACTTGGCATTTGCAGACTTCTGTGTCGGACTCTTCTGTGTGATGCAGAACCTGTCTATCTATCTTATAGATAGGTGAGTGACAGTTGTCAAAAAATATTTGCATATTTAATAGACGTTTCTTTTGCAAGAGGAAAGAAAAAGGAGAAAAAAAGAGTTTAAATCAATTTTTTAATTTTTGATATTTATGCCTATAAATCGTAACTGGCATAAATATAACTAGATTCAAAAAAATCTATTTTAGCAAGAATAGACTACATTTGGAAAAAAAATTTAAAAATTATTAATAATTAGAATATTTTACTCTGAATGCCTTTAGTTATTATTATAGTTTTATTTAAGTTTTTGTAGTCATTACGTTACAATTTATGTTGTGCTTAATATTTATTGGTCAAAGAGTTATCTGGATGACACGGTGACAGAATTCTATATTTATTGAAAATAATGCAACACAAAAGTTTGAACTTTCAAGTGAAACATTTACACCAGCCGTCACAAACGGGAAACTCCGATTCCACAGGCGGCACTTTTGCGTCAGCCTTTTTGCTTGCACCTTTCACTCCAATCATGTTTATATGCATTGTGTTTCTTAACTTTCTTAAAAACACGTCGTTGCGACGTGAACAAATAAAAAGCTCACGAATATGAATGAGAGAAAAAAGTGACAAAAAATAAAGTTCTGCATGAAAATTCGAACAATGAAATGTTCAAGGTTTTTCTGATTTTCAACAGTATGAAAAAAGTGTTCGGTTTTTACCCTTGCAGAGGGTATTATTATTTTGTACAGTACATATATCAGCTTAAATAGACGAGTAGATAATTGTCCTTTCTTCAAAAGCTGTGGATTTTATACTCCCCAATCGTCATAAAAATGTAAGAGAAAAAAAAGTTTAAAACAGGTGAGAACGCAATAGTCGAGAACTATCAGATACCAGTTACTCAGAGATGCCTGCCCATCATAATTTTAATTTTGGATCCTAATAAGCATTTTGCAGTCAAAGGACTAATTTTAAGGATCACAATTTTGTTTGCTTGCAAAATTTTATCTAAATTAGGCGCACAACTTGATAAACTAAAAACGCAAGCTAACTTAGATAAGATTACGACAAATTATCATAAATTATGCCAAAACTATAAGTGCGCCTCCCAAAAATATTTTTACCTAACTATTTAATTTATTTTCCACTTTTCATTAGCATTTTAATTATAAGTATGTTTAAAACCAAGAAGACATACGGAATTCAAATTCAAAATCTACCTTTAGTTAAGCACACGGATAAGAAAACGGCTCTTACGCGAGCTAATTCAGCTATGTACTTTGAAAAGATTCAGAGCAGTGATTCACCAATCTTTTTAAGACTTAATATACTGTAGCATATATCAACAAAAACATTTAATATTTTAATGATAAAGTAATACCGGCCAAATTATAACGAATGAACGCTGTGCACAATCGAAATTACGTGGAAGTGCTAAAAGCGAAATCCAATGATGCGTCGCCTCCTTAACACAAATACGTTTTCCGATGTAATGCTAGCCGAAATAATAATAAAAAAGAAAAAGCTTTTCGCCCCATAAAATACTAAAGACACCTTAATGTCGCATTAGTTTCGCTGGCGTGTCATAAAATTTATGTGACTGGCCCTAAATTTAGATCCGACACTTCGACGTGAAGCAAAGGGGACTCTTTAAAGGACGAAACTTTCTCCCATAAATAATTATTAATTCTACAGCGTATACCTTTCTTCTTGCAGCTGGGTTTTCGGTGAGTTCCTGTGCCGCATGTACCAGTTTGTCCATTCACTGAGCTACACCGCCTCGATTTTCATCTTGGTTGTCATCTGCATGGAGCGGTATTTCGCCATAGTGCATCCTATAACATGCAAACAGATCTTAACTGCAGCTCGCCTGAGGGTAAGTGAAAAAAATGTTAATTTACTTTCTAAAGAAAAAACAAATAAATTAAATTAGTGAAAATACGAAATAATATAAATAATATGGCATTGGACAACAAAATTGGCCTTTTTAAAAGTCGCAGCGGCATGATTTCTAGGGCAACAAAGTATAGTAACAAAGTTCGTTTTTAGAAATACTAATTACTTATTTTTTCGGTTTTACGAAGTTAACTTCCCTTCTTGTTTTCTATCAATTAAGGGTACAGTATAAATGTCTTAAAATACACTCAGAAAAAAAATCGCCCTAAATTTTAGAAAATCGCCATACTTTGAAAATCGCCTTGAAATTCAGAAAATATTTCTATTTTTCAGAAATAAATAATAAGAAAAACTTACCCTGATTAGATCAACTCCTCTTGTTATCCACTTTTAGAAAAATTTTCTGTTATTCAGAAATTTTTCTTTCAAACTAAGAAAAAATCGCCTTACATTTTAGAAAATTGGCCCAATCGGTAGCCTAGGGGTCTAATGCGAGCGGATTATTTGTTTTTTACGCTTATATTCGGAAGCGTGTGTTCGATCCCACGTCGAGGCGGACATTTTTTGCGTCTTTTTTTTTTTTGGCGCATTAAAATGTATACTTTAATATAAATAAGGATTTAGGTAAGCTAACACACACATAATGGATAAATAAGAGTATAAACCTAGAACCCAAGAGAACAGAATGAGAATGTACTTTGTACAGCGCCTCTCGTGATGCTTCCCTGGCGCAGCTAGTAGAGTGTTTGACTGCAAACTGTGAGGTAAGGGGTTCGAATCCCGCGAGCGACCAAAATGTTTTCCTCAAGATAGTAAGTTATTTGATTTTTATACCCTTGCAGAGGGTATTATGATTTCAGTCAGAAGTTTGCAACGCAGTGAAGGAGACGTTTCCGACCCCATAAAGTATATATATTCTTGATCAGCATCACAGGACGAGTCGATCTAGCCATGTCCGTCTGTCCGTCTGTCCGTCCGTCTGTCCGTCTGTCTGTTTCTACGCAAACTAGTCTCTCAGTTTTTGAGCTATCGGGATGAAACTTTTCCAAAAGTCTTCTTTCTATTGCAGGTAGTATATATGTCGGAGCCGACCGGATCGGACAACTATATCTTATGGCTCCCATAGGAACAATCGGAAAAAAAAACTTTAAAAAATTCTAGCTTCGGTGTTTTTTGAAATATTACCTTCTACTTTTGGGAATGTTATTTTTTAAATATATCTGAATTTCGAATTAATTATTTAAAAAATCGGACTACTATATCATATAGCTGCCATAGGAACGATCGGAAAATTAATGGAAAAGTAATAGAAAATAAATTTTAGCTTCTTTGGATTTTATTGTATTATCTTCTACTCTAGGATATGACACTTTTTAAATATTTCCGAATTTCAATTTTAATTTAATCAAAATCGGACGACTATATCATATAGCTGCCATAGGAACGATCGGAAAATTAATGGAAAAGTAATAGGAAATAAATTCTAGCTTCTTTGGTTTTTATTGTATTATCTTCTACTCTAGGATATGACTCTTTTTAAATATTTTCGAATTTCAATTTTAATTTGATCAAAATCGGACGACTATATCATATAGCTGCCATAGGAACGATCGGAAAATTAATGAGAAATATTAGAAAATTGAACATTTTTGCGATTTGTTAATTAATAGGAATGATCTGCAAGGGTATATAAGCTTCGGCTGGCCGAAGCTAGCTTCCTTTCTTGTTATGTTTATCATTAATAAATAATATAATAATTTCAGTTATTATTTCAGTTACAATTAAAAATTAAAAGTGTGTTTGTGTACAAGCATCGTGACGTCATCCATGTGTTTAAATAGAGGAGAGAAAAATAAGTTGAAAAACGAGAACCCCCAACAACAACACCCCACACCGACAGACTCCACCCAGTCGGCATAACTCCCGATTCCCCGATTTTTTTTTCTTCTTCTTATTCAATTTTGCAAAAACTAACCCTAAATTTAAGAAATTTTTTTTCTAATTTTTAGAAATATTTTTTCTAAAAGGCAAGGCGAGCTGCCTTTTCTAAAATTCAGGGCGATTTTTTTTCTGAGTGTAAGAACTAATTTTTCTTATTATTTATATCTAGTTATAACATTGGAAGCAAAAGTATTAATCTGATGGACCTTAACTTCCCCTTTTTATTTTGGACTCATTTTCAAAACTTTTATAACTTAATTTGAATACAATTTGCAAGTTAATGAAACTTATTAGACCTAGCCTGAAGAGGCATGCAAATTTAGCGGCAGAACAGTCTCGAAGGGCTTAATAAGCTGTGGGCATAACTTTGCGGCTGCGAAAACTTTTCCGCCCTCCGAGGAGGAACCACCCACCCTGGTCAATTTGATTCAAGGGTGCCCTCCATACTGTCACACAAAAATACGTTTTGGTAATGACGATTGTCCTAATTAAACTACAAGGGACATAAAGACAACAAAATGGGCCATCCATTAACATGCAAATTCTGTGTGTTCATTCGCAATTTAACAAATTGTTTGCGTGTTTGGCAGCCGAGTAGACAAAACAAAACGTCAATGCGTGTTTCTTGCAGATGGTCATTGTCACAGTTTGGATTACATCGGCCGTATACTCGACGCCCAAGTTTGTTTTTAGCAAGACCATTAAAAACATTCACACGCAGGACGGCCAGGAGGAGGAGATTTGCGTTCTGGACCGCGAGATGTTTAACTCAAAGTTGCTGGACATGATTAACTTTGTGCTTCTCTATGTAATGCCGCTTTTGGTAATGACGGTAAGTGAAGGCACATTTAGTTTAAATTATCGAATTTTATTTTAAAAATTACTATGATTAAGTTATCTCTCCCGAATCTCTGCCACCGCTCTTCCAAAACACACACACAAATCGACATGTTTGGCTGCGCTGCTGTACCGTTCATCAGCAATTCACCAACAGCTCATCAAAATTTTATAGTTTTTATACAAAGTACGAATGATTTACCAGTGATGAATAATTTTATTGACTTTTATTTTATTGAAGATTTGTCATCTTTTATGATTTAAAAACTCTGTGAATTCCTTAAACTCTTGAATTGTGGAAAAATTAACAGAAACTTTCAGCAATTGATTGATTCACCCTAAATGGTTTCTAATTCCAAACATAGAATTTTACGATCTGCTTCTTCTGCACTCAAAAAAAAAACAGCCCGAAATCGCCATTAAATCAAGAAATTCGCCATGAATTTCAGTCGATGGCGATTTACCGTATTTTTTAGAAAGGAATTTTCTAAAATTTAGAAAAAAATTTCTGAAAAGCAGAAATACTTTTCTAAAATCAAGAAAAATTGGCATAAAATTGCGAAAAATTTCCTTAAATCCAGAAAGTACTTTTCTTGAAAATAGAATTTTTTTCTTAAAATAAGAAAGGACTTTTTTTATTTTCAGAAAATTTTATTTATTTTAATAAAATGTATACATATTTATTTTACTATTTTATTTCCTAAACAAGAAAGAGAAAAGAAAATAAAAAGGATGAAAAGAAAATTATTAATATTTCCTAAACAAAAAAAGGAAAACAAAACAAAAAAGATAAAAATAAGATAATAAATATTTCCTAAGGAAAAAAGAGAAAAGAAAACAAAAAAGATAAAAATTACATTATAAATATTTCCTAAACAAAAAAGAAAAAAGAAAAGAAAACAAAAAGATAAAAATTATTAATATTAATATTAAGTAGGTATTTAATATATTACCTATTATTAAAATTTACTTACTGCCAAATTATCAACAATACCTGAAATTGAAATTATTCCTGCAATCGAAAATAAAAATTAATATTAGAGAAGGATAGTATTTGCGGCCTGCAATAGTATGGCCTTTGCTTACCATAAATTTTCACACACTTACCAAATTTATATTTAAATTTATTTAAATTGCTTACCTATTAATTGCCTCTTAGAGGGATCGCACTTTAACTTTCTTAAATGGGCTCAACACAAACTTATTACTTTGAATGCTCATCCAAAACTGAGCACAAGGGTTCAAAATGCAGCGCAACGCAAGCAACTCTCTCGCGAGAGACTGCATTTCCAAAACAACAACGCAATAAGAGTTACAGCTACGCACAAGAAAATTCTCGATCATACGCACAAACACACATAAACATATACATACATACGCCAAAACTGTCGTCGCAACGCGCCGCGGACTAACCCCTTGTCTTCTTCTTTTTCGTTTCGAAGAAAGAGTGAAAAGCATAAAAGAAATACAAAAAGTTTTTCTTAAATCTATGGTGATTTTCTAATTCTACTTTTTTGTTTTCAAGAAAACATTTTTTTTTAATTCAGAAAAATTCTTAAAATTTAGAAAAATTTACCGTATTTTTTATGGCGACTTTCTAGATTATAGGAAGGGGTGAAGTACATTTTTTCTTAATTTAATGGCGAAATCGCCATTAATTTTGGAGAGCAAACTAGGAAAAAACACCATTGATTTAAGAAAAAAAATCATTTTTCTAAATTTTAGAAAGGTTTTTCATAAAATTCTGTTTTTATGGTCTTTTTTCCTAGATTCAAGAAAACAATTTCTAAAATTCAGAAAACTTTCTAAAATTAAGAAAAAATTTAATTTTATGGCGATTTTCTAAAATTAAGGAAAAAAAATTTTTTGAGTGTGGCTACCACTATTATTGCTGGCATTTCTAGCCTGTTTCAGGACAGTTATATTACTTTTTTATTGATCTAGCCGGAAAAGCCCCAAGTTTCCGGAAATCGGTCTCTATCCTTAGATTTTTTAGTTGGAATTTTTATTCCACATCTGGTGACTGGACTGGTAAAAAAAAAATCTTAATTTAACTATAGTTAAATTTCCCTTGGATTCAGTCTTTCTTACATTTTTCAAGGAATTCTCCAGAGATTAACCATGAACGAAACTGGTTCGGGCGCTTGATTATTGGTTGCCTTTCGAGCAGAATAAAATCGATAAGATTTGGCAAACTTGCCCGAAATTCATCGTCGCTTGTTGTGCGATGAAATTTGAATAATGAAATTAACCACGAGCACATTTGCATTGCAGGTGTTGTACAGTAAAATCGCCATTGCCTTGTGGCGCAGTTCACGGGGCCTCACACCGCATGTGGTGCAGCATCAGCAGCATCAGCCGCAGCAGACGTCCTGCCAGGACAGCGGCATGGGCATGCACAACAGCATGTACCACCACCACCAGCATCAGCACCACCACCACCAGATGCACCACCAGCTTCCCCCCGCGGCGGCGTCAGCAGCGACCTCGGCAGGAGTTGGAGTGGGTGGAGGTGCTGGCTCCTCACTCGCTTCCGCCGGCAGCAGCACCACGTCCTTGTCCCGCAAACAGAGTAGTAAATATGAGAAGCGCGGCGTCAGCATCACGGAGAGTCAGGTGAGTTCCCTTGAAAACAATGCCTCGGAAAAATATGCAGGCAGAAAGGGGAGAATTCGGCGTTAAAAGCCTAGCCTTGTCGCTTAATTGGCCCGAACGGCTTTAACTTCGATTGAGTCGGTACGTGCTATGTGGTAAATAATGTTCCTTCAAAATCACATCGCTATGCGGCCACTAATTTATTAGATACATAGCATAGCCGCAGTCGTAAAAACTTTCCCTGGAGATTTTATTTCTGCAATTTTGCCGGGCCAAGTGGCACGGTCCTCGGAGCAGGTGTCAATTCACATTAAGGCTATCGCTGACCTCGCCACAAACTCAACCCAGTGGCGAGGCAGCTGGGGGATTGAGGAAGTATAGCAACTGGACCGGGAAAACTGCAAGTGAGAGGCAAAAGTTATGGCAAAAGTGTTTTTTCCATTATTGGTTGCCCGACAGCAGGTACAATTGGTCAGGAGTAATTTTCGAGCTTGACAGGAGCTTTGCCATACAACTGCCAAACCTGCAAGCTGGATTGTTCTTATCAAGCTTCAGCTGCTTACTTGATATATAGATAAAAATCGATAAATTTATAAACTATAAGCGCTACAAAAATGAGATTGGATAATAAGATAACATGTTTTAATTGTGCGATGACATCTGCAGTTTGAAAATTTTAAAGTTTCGAACAGAAAATCTTGAATTTGTTACTTCTATACACTATCAAAAGTATGCCGTGTTTAAAGCCAGAAAAAACTAAACTTTTAATTAGAAATCTCACTCCCAAAAATAGCTGTGTATCGCCAGCAGAAACCGAGTATAATTTGGCATGTTGGAGTTCCGTTTGTGTGAATGATTTGCACAACGAGCGGACACAGAAAAAAATTCGATATGAAATAGGGTCAATTCCACCATATTTTATATCAATATGATATGATTAATGTCAAATGTATTTTTCAAACATATCAACTTGATATTTTATCAAATCAGTTATTTCTGAAAAATTATAAAAAAATACCATGGGCCTGCATGTGCTAGTAAAACTGGCACAAAATATGAATATGAAATAAATATAAAAAAAATTGTTTCCAAAATTAAGAATATTGGTTCAGCTAAAAAACACCACGATAAACCCTATACATTATTACATAATTTTCTGCTATTCCTTAACTTATGTCCACCTACTCGCCTTGATCCACAGATAACAACCTAACTATCTTTCTGTTAAACTCTTTTCTCTCTCTACATTTCGTTTGATCAATAACACTGTTTGGCCCCTCCTTCTACTAACCCACCAATTATAACAACCACACACCACAACACCACAAATTAGCTTGATAATTGCAAGGTAGGTTCTAATCGAATATCAAAATCGATAAGATGATGGCTCCAACGGGCTGCAGAGGCCACAAACCTAATGTCATTACAATTACACCTGTTAATCCGCACAGGTGTCCCTGGAGGCCGATCGTCCCATTGTCAGCGCCTGCCGCAAGACGAGCTTCTATCACCACTCCCATGCGCATCACCAGCGCTCGGGCACCGCCTCGGGGGGCGGAGGTGTGGCCGGAGGAGGAGGCGGATCCACCCACATGTCCCACTCGTCCAGCAATGTCCTTCGCGCCCGGCGCGGAGTCGTCCGTATGCTGATAATATTCGTGCTGACATTCGCCCTCTGCAATCTGCCGTATCATGCCCGCAAAATGTGGCAGTACTGGTGAGTAGCCAACCGAGATACCATCACACACTCAAAAAATTATTCGCCCTGAATTATAGAAATTGGCTTCACTAGCGATTTTTTTCTTAAAATAAAAAAAAATGTTCTACTTGTAAAGAAAATTTTCTTCAAATTAATTAAAATTTATAAAATATAAGAAATTTTCCTGAAATATAGAAAAAATCGCCAGGGAAACAAATTTCTAAAATTCAGGGTGAATAATTTTTTGAGTGTACCCATTTCATTCACCCATCCATCCATCCAGTCCACATGGACTGGGGCGTAAACAATATTTTATGGTATATTGCACTGGGAATTGACAGACATTTGCATATTCGGCCGATAGGATAGACGGGAAATTAACATCTGCGAGTGGGCAGATAAGGCCGAGATGGCTTCCTGCTGGAATCAAGGCTGATAAACAATTAAGTCATCAATGGGAAGCAACCAACCGGTTTGCAGCTCGGCTTTGCCTGCGGGCTAAATCGATTTGAAATCGCTCCTCCCTTTCCCATATCCCCTTCCCTTTTCCAATCCAATTTCATTCTAAAGACGGAAGATTCGCTTTCTTCTCTTCCTTTCAAAGCGGACGTTAACAAAAGTCCGGTTTAAACAGCCCTTTGGCTATCAGTTCCGCTTCCGGTGAGGCATTTTAAAACGGGGCGGGTCGCCTTGCTGGCTTTGATTTTGGGCACTCTGGGGTAATGGAAATTCGTGGGCGGTCCCTGAAAGCTGTCTGGGGGCGGTGGATGTGATGTTTACAGTCGAGCGACGAGCTAAATCGAGGAGGAGTTAATTGGTCCTAAGGTAAAGTTAAAAACGTGCACTTAAGCATTGCCTCTGACCGTAAGTTAAAATGCTTTCCTTGCTTCCTAGTTTTACTGGACGTTTGAAAGCAAACCTGAAATCATTTACGGGTGTTCCAGAAATCGTCTCCTGCTTTATAAACCAAAAATATTTACAGTAAGATATGATCTGTACGTTGGGACAGCTTAAAAAATAAAACTTACCCCTATTTTAGTTAGTTTAATTTTGGTTCCGCCCTTTTTAAATTATTTAATTATTTTTTTCAAATTAAAGTTTTTGTTATATTTTGAGGAGTTTAATTACTTATAAATTTAACCTTTTACCAATTTAGTTAAAACACGTTGGTAAATCTGGGCTTATGATGTTTTTTCATAAAATCTATCATTTATATTTATATCAGAAAAGAGACTAAAAGAAATATATAACAAAGTTTATAATTTTAATTTTGTATTAAGCATACTAATTTATTTATATTAGCAAAAAATATTGTTCTTACTCCCATAATAAGTTCTGAAATATACCAACAAAAGGAAAGATTAAGAAGTACTTATCTAGTGACATTACCTACCTCTAAAACCTACATCATTTAATGTTTTCAGTAGAGAGCTGTAAGAACGTATAATAAAGTACTTCCTTGTTGATTTGCTACGTTGCACTTTTGGCAGACGTTCCAGAAATTCATTTGAATTTTATTCCTAGTCTGCGGGAAAAATAGCTGAAACGCATCACTCTTTCCAACTGCAGTTAGAGCACTCAATTTGCACAAATGTGTAATGTATTGCTGGCAAAAATACCTTTATGATTTCTTGCCAAATAGAAAGCGAAAGAACATTAACCCACAGTCCCACTTCCCCAAAGTGCCATAATTGAGATTTATCTCTAGCATGACTGGGCTGCGATAGTTGTTTACTTGTCTGGAATTTCAATTTTCATTTATTTGAAGAATTGGCTGACCTGGGATGTTTTTATTGTAAGGTGGAAAACTGAAGGTGGTCACGGACTGTTGGACAATGTCTGCGATTTTTCTCGAGGTGCTTAACTAGAACAGATAATAAACAATGAAATGTAGGCGACAGATTGACTAACGCTGTTTAAATATTTTTGGAAGTAACTTTGTTTAAATCGCAAAATATTTTGAGCACCGACGATCGGCTTATTTAATGAGTCTCACTTTTGAAATCTAAATTCGAGTGTAGCAATCCATTCCGCCTTCTTATGAGTGTATTTCCCGAAGTAATGAAGACTATCTACACACAAAAAAACATGTTGCGGTCAAATCGATATGCGCATGGTAAATTTCTGGTACTGCATACGCATATCTCGATGATTGTCTGACTTTGCAAAAGAGAGGAAGAAGCAATTTAGTGACTTAAAGTGTAAGTGGAACCGAAAAGTACAAACTCTATCAATTCAAAATAGAGCGAGATAGCGCTTAAAGTTACATGAGTGGGAGGGAGAGCATATCAAATTGAGGTGCTCGCATATCAAGTCAAAATTGATACTACATAACATCAAATCGTTCCGTTCTGTTTGGATGTACTTATCAAAGCTAAGATTGGCATTTTTCCAGGTATTGAAAAACATTTTTTTCGTTGCCCAAAAAAAAAAAGGCGACTCGCGCCCATCTCTGCCCAGATGCTAAATATAGCTGATTTCACAGACACATTATCATATAGCTGTTATTGCTACTTAAAGCGAACACGTCCGAGTAATTGCCACGCGTTTACATTTCCCTGCAGCTGTAATGCGTAAATTCAAGAAGGTTCGGTGTCGTGGGGTGCCACGTTTTCATTATTATCTCCCGAAGCCCCTTGGATCGGGGTAGTCCGGTGATAACGATGTCAACTGCCAGCAGTTGGCAACTGCGTCTCATTAGACGGTCCAGAATATACAGAGTCGACAAATGGCCACGCAGAGTTTGGCTCTTAATTTCGTGGCCCCGATTCGGATTGGCATTTAAATTTGGTCCGGACTGCGGAGCTGGCAATCCGTTGGCAAAAGGCCACTTTAGGACTCAAGCGGCGGCGAAAACAAAGCGAAGGCCATTCGAGTGGCCCAATCAGTTAGCCAACTACTTCTCCTCAGAACTGAGCCACTTGCAAGTGCAAGACGAATTTTTAGCGAGAAACAGAAACAAGGGTTGGACAATTTGACAGTTGGGGCAAAGTTCGCCTTGTCCGGGTTAAAAAAAGGAACGAAAAGCGAACGAAACACCTCTCTTCTTGCTTTAAATATTGTTCTGCATCGAAAGTTTCGGGCCAAGTTTATGTTGCATTCTTGCAGGCGGCCAAAAACTTTGCTCTTGGCCGAATTCCCCGCTCCATTAAGCAAGTTTTTGAGAGCTTTTTGCCCCCAGACGGCCAAAAACAATACTGCCAACAGCAGCTTAATCACCTGGACACATTGAAGTGGACAAAAGTCAGCACCTTCTTCGGTAACTCGCCGGAGATTAAGTCTGTTACACGCAGAGAATTAATGTACTTGTAAAAGTGTCTAAAAGTGTAAGGAAGAACAGAATTCTCTTCGTAAGGAGTTTGGGTAGAATTCTTACATCTAGTGTGTATCTACACTAATTCGAGGAAGATTTCTGTTTCGTCCCCGATAATGATTTTATTTTTTGGCCATTATTTTACAAAAACGTTATTTATCTTAAAATGTGCATATATCGTTTTTTTAAGAAAGAAAGAAAACTAAAGGGGGTAAGGGTTAGGAATGTTACATGTTTAACTGTTTATACAAATATAGTATCGATTTTCCTAAATTTGTAGGATATGATAAAATGTAAATATACAAGACTCTTTAATCCTTAATTTTACTGAATGTATTAATTTGTTTCATATAATATTGTACACTCAGAAGTTGCATCATAAATAAACTACTTTATAAATTTGTCTAGGAAACCTGTTAAATTCTGTTGTCACTTTTTTCAGTGTGTCATCTGGGTGATTAATTTTTGTTTAAAAGAACTGCAGTCCGTGGATGGAATTGAATTTAAGTGGATCTCTAATTAAATATATAGCTCACTTTTTGAAACTTTATTTCTTACATAATTAATGAGATCACTAGCGCAGTTTCGCTCATGAATTTCTTAGTGGAAACACAAAATTGGTGTATATGTATGAATATCTTTTGGAATGGCGAAACACTTTCGACCAGCCAAGTTTAACATTCCAAAACTCTAAAACTGTAATCTACTTTGGGACAGGCCACCGAACCAAGTTCAATGTTTGTCCAACAGATGCTCATTTGCATACACGCAGAACACACATTGTGCCAAACATAATATATACAGATACTTCTAAAGGCAGATAGTTATTTCCATGTATATGCATTTGCAGGTCACGTTCGTATCGCGGTGATTCCAATTTTAATGCGCTGCTAACGCCGCTCACCTTTCTGGTCACGTACTTCAATTCGGGCGTAAATCCCCTTCTCTACGCCTTCCTGAGTCGCAATTTTCGGAAGGGCATGAAGGAGCTGCTGCTCTGCTCATGGAAGAAGGGCAAGGGCAAGTCGTCCTCGAACTCCTCGATGCACCACAAACGCAAGGCGCTGCAGGTGAGTGTTTCTGGTCTCTCTGGCTTCAGGACGTCTGGCCGCGACATCTGGCAAAAGGTTCCATGGTAAACTCCTACTCCTTCTCCCCGCAGACCCACTCGCTGCCCACGGACACCACGCACATCGGGAACGAGCAGCTATGATGGCCACGCGGCTGGAGGAGGCCACTCAAGCTCTTCGGGCGACGCTCTTAGGACCCAGCCCATCGAAGGATGCTCCATGCACTTCCGGTCCGTTAGCTAGTTATTATTTCAATGTGATTTCGCAAAGCCTATTGCTCGGATCGAAGCGGAACTATCTCCTAGCCGGTGTCAAGTTGTATTGATAGAGTAAGCCAGTTTTTAAGGTAAAACCAAATAAAATAAAATCAATTTGCATGCATCTCCGTGAGCATCACTGTCAAGTTCTTAGTGTAAGGATATGAGTTAAGTGTGAGTCAGAACGAACAAATAAAATAAACAAAACAGCAAAGATCATTACTTCAATAAATTATTAATATTACTTTTGCCCCCTTGCTTCGCTAGATTTCTCTGATTTATTGCATTTTATTATTTTAGCAGCAAAAATCAATCGAATTGAGAATTTTTGCAACCCACTCCAAAATCATGTAGTTTCGCGTTGCTCCAATTGCACGTTGGCCGCCACCGAGTGCGTCCGCAATTTATATATACTATCTCTTTATAGACCTGACTTGCGATATCTGATGACAAGGGTTTTATGGTCAGCCGGAGAACACGCTTCGTTGCGGCTGCCAAAAACAAAAAATATGACGCACAGAGGAGGCGACTGCATTAAAACTGGTCGAATTTTTTGCTAAGCGCAGCAGTTTGTTTCCCCACTTGGGGGCCTGTCAGACTCGTAAGTCAACGGAGGAAGCGCTGCAGTAAATTCTCGAGGGAAAACTCAATTACCAGGACGGTCTGACGTTGGCGCAAATTAAAAACCAAAACTCTACGAAAAATCTTTTAAAAATCGTTGTTTGTTTTCTCCACTTCTTCTTTCCATCGCTTTCTTTTTTCTTACTTCCTGTGACCCTCTTTACAAAAGTCTTTGTAATGCAAACAGCATTCCATAAACTGTGTCAAAAGGATGAGTCGACGCGTTATTGCGAAATATTTCATAGTTACACACAAATTACAAGCAATCGTCTTTTCTTGGGTTTTGCTACACAATCAATTTAAGTTACACTAAGACTTCGGTCACACCACAAAGAATAATATTTTTCGACTAGTGAAACTCTTAGCCGATGTGAGTTTATTAACATAACAAAGGGGACAGACATGGCGGAAATCAAACTGGACGGAAAAACGTATCAAATTAAAAGAAAATCTATTGAAAATGACGTAGGTGAAGAGGGAAGATGCGGTCGCTAGCCCACGGGTCGCTAATGATCACAAGTTTACTGGGGGAAGTTTCCAGAAAATTGCGTGGCAGACGCCAACCAGCGAGCCGGCACCGGAGGCTACCGATATCAGGTAGTGATAAATCATAGGATACTGTAAATTGGCAGTAAGCGAAAAGGATTTTTCTAGGGTCCAACGAAGAAAACAGCAACAAGTCGCCAATAGGGCAGTGCCCATTGCGTCAGAAGATGTGGCCGTCATCCCACAAGACGCAGATGAGCGCGAGTCCCCATAATCCTGGATTCCTCTCCGGTTTTCGCCATACTGAGTGACCACACTCAGTATTCCCGGGAAAGCGAGCAGAAGAGGCAGTGGACAACAATTCTAGCCATGATCATCTATATGTCACCCATGAATTCGCTTTAAAAGTCACCCTGTGCATCCGATCTGTAAAAGTGAAAGGATTCTTAGCACAAGGACCTACTTTCCGGAGGTATCACAGGGAAACGGATTTATGGTTGGTTTTGATGTTAAAGTTTTTATACTCAGAACACTTTTAAGATGTTTTTAAGGGAGAAATAAATTAATTGCGACATAGCCATAAACAAAGGAAAATTAGTCCTTAAGGACTTTTACCAATTTGCTCAAAAGTATACTCTATACAATTGATGATAAATAAACGGAACTTTCAAGGGTTTTACACACGTATTTTATTTATTTTCTAGAGCATACTTTTGGGCAAATTGGTAAAAGTCCCCAAGGATTAATTTGAATCGAATAATGGTGATGACCGAACACTATTTTCGCATATGACAGCTTTTCTAAAATAATTGCAATTAATCTATTAGCTTTAAAATAAATACCTACATATTTGGGTTATAAGTAATTGAGTAAGCTAGCCAAGTTAGGATCTTCAGTTGGCAGAGTACCGAATTGGGAAAACTTTCAGAGGATTTCTGTTATACTCCATAGAGTTAATATGTCGTTAATAGTAGCGTGCTACATTTCACAGATATCAATAAATGATAAGGTTAATTAAAAAAGGCACATAAGTTCAGCTAGACAGAATACCCAATCCCCTCTAATTACCTCATAACTATGGCGAACAATTTAACAAACTCGGAGCATAATTGATTGGGATTCAAACCCCAGAAGCTGATGTCGAGTAATTTATGCAATGGCTTTTTAATTAAAACGCCAGGCAGCTTAACTCATTGACACTAAACTTGCTATTTGAATATGCCAACACGGTGCAGTGGGGGTGGTAATGGGGCTGGGCTGGTAATTCATAATTTCCCAAGGCCAGTGGAAATTAATTTGCTGTGTTTGAGCCATTGACACAAGTTCGCAGCGCAGAATGGATTACGAATCGTTGGAGTGAAAAGTTGCGCCAGTCGCCGAAGTCATTTGCAACAGAGCCCAGGGCAACGTGGACGTCAAGAAGGTGGATCTGGGGGAGAACATGTGCTTGGGCGCGGATGTGGATGCGGATGTGGGCTGGGTGTCCACTGGATGTCCACTAAGCCGATTAGTTGTGCAAAAATAGCAGTTTGACCGGGGGACGGCGAAAAGCGTGTACAAATTTACCTAACGGCTTATGGCAATTAGTCGAACGAGTTACAGGATGCAACTTTGATTCGGCTTTGTGTGAGTTTCCGTTGCGTGGGTGATTAGACAAGCCGTCCCGTTTGTATGGCCAGTATTCAGAACTAAGCTATTTTTATTCAGCCCGCTCTTAGCTCGGGTTTCAATCTTGCACAAACACAAAACTTTTCGCATATCCCAGCCATTTAGGGAAGTTTGCACTCGGCCACGACAAGAGCCCCTGCAAAAAGTTAAGTGCCAAGTTTCCCCAACAAGTGGCATTGAATTTGACAGAACAACTTGGTATCGGGTACGGGATTGGGTTTGGGATTGGGTTTGGACAACTGCCGACAGCAGAATCCAAGTTCTTTGTGTGCTCTCGAAATTAATTTGAATGAAATATATTGAGTGTAATGCGAAAGACAAATAAAACTTGCAGGAACTTTCCATTTTACTCTTGGCCAAGAGTGATTGCATCTTCGCCTGCAGGCTTGACCGAAAACAAAATAAACTTGGAATACCTGATGGATCGGCCAGCGCCAAGTTCTGTTTGCCTGGTAAAAGGTTTTTTCTTTCCAAATTTTCTGGATTTTTTTTTGAGTTTGTTGGGGTTTTGGGGGAGTGGGGAATTTCAGGCGCCTGCCATGCATTCAACTGAACTGAAAAATGAACAGGCGTCCAGGAAAACGACAAGAGATGTCTGACCACTCTTCATACATTTGTACATGCTGTCTCCTTGACCAACCCCAAAACCCACTCTCCAGCTAAAAATCTAAATACCCACCCCCGAATGACAGACAGTTATCTCAAATGCAACAGCCACTGAAGTTTTGCTGAAATTTAAGTGCAGGCACTGCATCCTGACGAGGCAAAGGCAAAAACAGATTTCACTACGAAAATTTTAAATTCGACTTATAAAGTGCTTAAGTTATTACGCTGGCCAGCAGAGCGGAGCAGCCTGTTTAGCATTTCCGCTTCCGTTTGCACAGTCCGACTCGACTAAGTTTGCATTTTTTATGAGATTCGCAATTCAATTTAGATACGAGGCTCAGATTTAAAGTTCTGCCAAATGAGCAGACGAAAACAAAGCAAAACAAACTCTCGGCCCTCCAATCTGGTTATGGTAACCCTTTTTTTTGTAGTTCTAAACGGATCTTTCCGTCCCAGGGCACAGCTATTATTTTAGGATGCTGCAAACTGGATTTGATTGGGAAATTTGTTGATTTTTAATTTGACCCGAAAGCGACCCATTCTTAATGAATTAGTTAAGGGGTTCTGCAGTTCGATAAGTGGGGGTTCCGTTTCGGCCCACGCCTCTCGAAAAGTCTTTCCCTGTTAAAGTCCCTCGATCATTATGTAAAGTAAGCTCATTTAAAAGAGAAAAGCTTATGGCTCTGAAAATTACGCATACGCCGCATAAATCATTCACCGTAAGCCGGGCGCCCGGCAGCCGGAACGTAATGGAACGGAGACAGAGAGCGAAAATCCGGACCCGGCCATTCAGCCATCCACCGAAACACAAATTGCGTGGCTGGCCGCATTAATTGCGGCCTATTTATATGGCCGTTTGCCGTCGCGTTCACGTGTTTAACCTGATTTAAATACAATTAAAATGCACGGCCGACTTAATCCAGGTAAGTGCCACATCCTTAAAGATTTCCCATTTCGCATTTCCAATTTCCCATTGAACATTGAACACAACCCACGCTGGTTTTTACATAATTAGCTCTTATTATTACAATATCTTTTGGTTTATACACGAACGTTAACGTTAGCCACTTGCCACTCCAGATTCTTACTCTTATTGAAGCTTTAGTTGCGGGACTAAAGCGTTAAGCTATAGACTCCTTTGATTTGGGATTGTTAGCAGATGGTTTCTTTGCATTACACTAGGGATACGGTAGCGTAAGAAAAACTAGACTAATCCTAAGTAATCTTAATCTATTTACACTTCTTAAACTACAAATGCATCTTTGGTCCAAACGGTACTCGTTTTTCTTCTCCTTAATTTTTAGGTGACGATCCTTGGGCTATTTGATCCTATGTACAGACGACATCCTGACTAATTGCTTGGCTACAGGTAGACAAAGTGGCCCAGTCCCTTGGCCGGGTTGTTGTTGACGGCCTCCGCCGTGAGCTTGCTCCCGTTTCCATTGGAATCCTGCACCTCCGCCACGGGCATCAGTCTGCCGTAAACCCCCGCGGATGCGAATCGGGCATTCATGTGGATGTCCAGCAGCTTCTTGTCCTTGCCCAGCGATGAGAACGAGTGCGAGGCGGTGCGAATCTCACGTATATTGTACACGGGGCTGTAGGCTCGGGCGGGGGAAATGGAGACGGCCAACTGGGGGGCCGTAGCAGCAGCTGGAGGAGCAGGAGAAGCTGGGTAGAAGTCCCGCCGCAAAGCACACTCCGTGGAATTGTCCGAGGAGCCGGAACTGCTGGCACACTCGTCCTCGTCGCCGGCATCTTCGCTGCTGCTCCGGCTGCTGCAGCTGTGCAGATCCTCGGAGAGCGAGAGATCCGATTCCAGGGATAGCTCCAGCAGACTAGTGCTATCCTCCAAAGTAACCGCCTCGCTGGCCGCCTGGCCAATGGCCTCGTTCAGGTTGGCCAGCAGCTGGCGACGCCGGGCGTAGTTCGGAGTCCGCCGCACCAGAAAGTGGCAGCTCTCGCCGCGCTTCATGCGCTCCATTTGGGTGCGCAGAGGGAGGTCATCCGGATGGAGTTTCCTTTGGCACTCCTGGCCGGGACACACCTCGTACAGGGAGAAGCTCTCGACGGGCTCCGGCGAACTGTAGCAACCGAGTAGCAGGTGGAGCAGCTCGTCGCTGGTCGTCTCCTCGCTGATGACCAGCGATTTGTACTGGGAACTGGGCTGCAGGGCGGAGGTGTGGACGCGGATCAGGCCACCGGGCTTCAGCTGCAGGCAGAAGCGGGACTCGCCCTTCGGATGGCAGGCCTGCATGATGGCCGGCCGGGTGTCGTCGTCCAGGACGAGGATGGTCTTGACCCCGGCCCGGCGCACGGCCACCTCCATGGAAAGGTAGAAGAGCCGCGGGTCGCGGTGTCGCATCTTGAGCCTGTAATCGAATTTAAATTTAAATCGAATTAATTCCCCTGTTGGATGGGTCAATAAATTAAATCTGCTTACCGTCTGAGCAGCTGGCCAATCACCTCCTTGCTGGTCGTGTCCCACTGAATGCCAAGGGTCTTGTACTCGATGTCGATCTTCAGGCAGTTGGTGTACACCTTTATTGTGGTCTGTGTGGGCGGAAAATTCGGCATTAGTTGGAGGTTCTCGAGGAGCTGTCCCTTCTGGGCACTCACCTGTGGCAGCTGCTCGTTGAGACTGGAATAGCTGGAGGCCCGCGAAGGAGTCCTCTGCAGCTCCGCCGGGGGCTCCGGACTGCCGCACATGGAGCTGGCGCACGAGGAGGCGTGGCTGGAGGAGCGAAGGGACACCGAATCGGAACGATTCCGCAGCGGCGAGATTTGCACGTGCTTCAGCATCTGAAATAACAGAGAAAATGCGGGTTAGACATATGTATGGTTTAGGTTTACGGATACCCCAAGCTGGGGTCTCATTCATTATGAATGCTTCCTGGAAAACTGCAAGAGCACTTGCTACTCTAAATGAAGTTGCCACATCCGGTGTGCTTCAAAAAGGGCTACACAGAGAGAAAGATATTGTAATGAAATCACGGTTTATGATTACTAAATTAAGCTTACTCAAATTATATCTCAAACTACATACATGAAATATTTCAGAATATCTTACAATATTTAATTTTCACATTAATTTGTATTATTTTCCCCTAAGCTCTGTGTAGCTAAATATGGGGGCTCTGTTGAGCAACTCTGCACATTCCACTCCTCAATCCCCTAAGTATTCGTGTTTTCCTGATGAATGCAGCCACTTTCAGTCAGCCGCCAGCGCTCATTGAAGCATGTAAATGAAGGGGGAGATATCGAGGAGAAGTGTCCTCAGCCGAAGCAGCTCTCGAGCCGAACCGGAAAGGGGGTGCAGTGGGGGGATGATGTATTGAAATTAATAAAGGGTTCGCAGTGTCGCAGCCTCTTCAGGGCGGTGACAATGAGCCATGAATGAACGAAATGGGCCGTGCATCGGGGAAAATCGCCGCCTGACGTTTGATTGAAAGCCAGAAGTACCTAGCACCCCCCTCCCGAGCCCACTAAATACCCACGATTTCCCCTATTTCCCCAGAGATCTCGATTCCAACCAGGCATTGAGATTCATTCGAGGCGTGCCGCGTTGTGAGGCGATTGCAAGCGGAAGTTGGTGGGATCGCAGCGGCTCAACATCCGGTTATGCCCCATTCCCATATGTACTCCCATATATACATAGAACGCCCTGTGTGGGCTGCGTGGGCGTCTCATTTTCATCGCTGGCCAAGCATATGGCAAATATGCGCCTTCCCCCCTTAATCATTAATATGGAACCGAGGCATATTTAATTGAAATGTTAAAAGTTTGGGAAAATGGTTGCGATGATTGCGGGGCCCTCGCACCATTAATTAGAACTGGAATCCAAGTGGCAGTCGCTGGAGCAAGTGAACCGCAGCGAGTGAACCAGCATAAAATGCAAACTGTGAATTGCGACTGAATTGTGACTGTCGGGGAATGAGATTGAGTATGGGGTACGGGGAAGGGGGGTTTTAAGTGCTGACGTCTGCTGTTCCCGCAATTAGCGGCTAATGTTGCAGAGTTTCACGCCAAGTTGGAGCTCGGGTCACTGCGAAATTGAACTCTCGAAGCTCGCCTACTTCATATTAATCGCAAATACTGGGAAAATCCCACAGAAACTACATAAATTTGTAATAGTAATTTTTACTGTTTAGAAGAGTCGACAATATTTTTGCCATTAAATTTTTCATTACTCGCAGACATTGTCTTAACTACTGAGACAATAATCCCTTCTTTCAACAAAACCTTGTACACCTGAAAAAATACTTGATATAAAACGATGATCAGTTTGATATTATATGTACAGAACGAAAAACGGAATGCGGGCCACCGAAAAGCACTATGCTGTCTGCAATTGCGAATCAACTAAATTAATTCCCAACTCGAAGGAACCAACGCCAAATATAAACATAAATCGAATAAAATTTTGGAAATTGAAGATGAGAAAAAGTGACAGAAGGAAATGAAGAAAATATATTTAATGTGAAATTGAATTACAAATTCGCATAAAAATGTTAGGGGCCGCTGGACACGGCAAAAAGTTGAAAGGAAAAAGTGTTTCCCCGGTAGGAGAGCCAGAATGTTAATAGGATCTCGTTAGAGGTGCGAAGGGGGAGAGAGGAGGCCAGTTAAGTGGATATTAGTTAAAGATTTATAGCCCTCATTGAGGAACAACTAGCTTTGACCTCTCATTGAGTTGCTTAGCTTTAGTGCTAACAGAGATACAGTGTCCCAAACTTTTCCAATTATGCCATCGATATCATACCCACAGCCCTCGGGTCCTTAAAGTGCCGGGAAAAGTCGCATAAATTCCACAGGGCAATACAACGTCGCAGGAGACACAGAGCGAGACGGAGCAGTAAGTAACTGCCAGACAGACAGGCAGGCAGGCAGACAGACAGACATTACAGAACTTACAACTGCTGGCAAGAAACAAAAGAGGCAATAAAAAGCAGCTGCAGAGGGGAGTCGCCAACTGAAAGATGCTCACAACTTGCGAGGAATGTTTTAATTTCAACTTCTCAGCGAGGAAATCGTAAACGTTTCCTCCCAAGGAGATGACAGCATCACTCACGACTGAAAAGTTTTCTCTAGTTTCAGCTTAGAAGAATACATTTGCATCTCTACAGATTGAATTTTGGCAAAAGAACCCCAGGATAATTCCTGAAAAATAATCTAAAAGAACGAAGATAAGGATAGTACATCGGTTTAAATTTTATATCTATGCGTAAAAAGTTCCTGCCACGACTCACGACTCATCCTTATCCAACCGTCACGTAGTTCTGCTTCAAGAGTCATATAATGTGCGCCCCTGACATTCAACATTCAACATGGCATAGATGCCCTTGAACTTGTTGCTGAGAACAGCAACAACTTTCTAGTTACCGATACATATTTGAAACTTTATCCGAAGAGGGGCCATATCCTTTATCATTTTCACACATTCGAGAGGCAAACGACCAGAAGGATTATTGATTGAATTACCCTTGCTGGCGAAGGGGGGGCCCGAAAATACTTTCATGGCCAGCAGACCAGAAAAGGGACCCAAAGTAAAGTCCGTCAAAGGGTCCAAACAAATGGCTGGGACCGAAGAATACTTTTTGTCAAAGAACAAGGAAAGATACTTTAAGTGCGAAAGGGCACGCCTAACGTGGTATCAGGGGCTTTTGCGAATAACTCGGCTGACGTGTCTGATAAGATTTGACTGCCATGTTACGTTTTCTTTATTAATCAAAGACAGAAGCCGAGAGGTCGAATGGATATGGATGGAGCTCCAACAGGCGACGACAACCTCAGAGCGTTTGCCAAATGTGGCCATCATTTCCATTGTCAGGCTGGCGACGAGAAAGATGAAAAATTGCAGACAAATTCCCTGTCTAAAGGAAAAAGGCAGCAGGACAGATAACTTGTAGCCCCAACCAATGAGTAAATTTAAGTCAATACTGGCAGAAAAGTTTTATAGAGATATATGTTAATTGTTTGCAGTTAAAGCATCTCATTTAAATCCCGCCCTTCAATTTGGTTGGTAATTCTGTTGAAATTTGCAAGCTGATGCGTTCATATGCAAATAAATCTGATGATGAAATGAAAATAAAATCAAACCAGTAAATGTGACAGTACCTGCAAAATGGTTTGGCTCCGAATGAAAAATAACAGAAGTCAATATTTAAATAACTTTTACCATAGTTGCGAATCATATGTTTCCCCTGCAGATGTGTGTTTACTTGCATATTTAATGTAGCTGCCACATGTGACAGGAAATTCGTTTAAAAAGGTCCGCTGGATTCGATATTAAATCTCATTTCTGTTTTTTCTACAATTTAATTGATTAAATTGACTTGCAAAAGTCAATTAAGTTAACCGTTTTTAATGGCGACTGTTTACCGAGAGAGGCCCTTTTGATTGGAGCCACTTTCGGATTCATTGTTCTAGCTTTTTTTTGCCTCGATACCCAGCGAAGCGTTCTTTTTCATTTACTTGGCTTATTCTTAGTTGAGTGATTTTTGGTGTTTCGCTTTACGGTTAATTTATGCGCAGTCTGCTTGGATTTTTTTTATAACAGACTTTGGTTTTTAGCATTGAAGGCGGTTGTGGGTTAATAGCTTTATGGAAAACCGCTAAGTAACCAAATTAAATGGGGAAATTTAAAAATTCTGATTTAGGAGGTATACTTTTTGCAGCCCAGGTCATTTTTGTACCGCGTAAAGGGCGTCAACTAAAATAATACATGAAAAAACCACCCATAAACATGAAATATGTTTCGGACTCCAGCCGTTCAAATTAGTACAAACAACGAAGCTTAAAAAATTGTATAAACTATTTTCGTAATGCGGCCGTAAAATAAAAAACCGCAAAAAGTGGCTGAAAAAATTTGTTGAAAAACCCTTTCTCTGTCTCACTAACATTTACGTATAATGCAATACTTAAGCGGGGTATTTATTTATCTTCGGTGGCTTTAAGCCTCCTCCTTAACCATTTTTTATTGCCTTCCTGCTTTTGTAAGCCGCTTAGCCGACCGGTTTTTCATGCCATTAAAAAGTGTTGCATAGTAAGAGGCGCCAGGGCCGCGGTAGCGCAAAAAGTCAAACAACAACATCAAAATTAAATTTCACTTTTAATCAACTTTTCGCCGCTTCCACCGCATTGCAGGGCAAGAGGGTTAATATCCAGAAACGATTCCTTTAAGCTGGTAATTGGCGAACTTTTTTTTTTATTGTTTTGTTTTGCTCAGGCTGCGGCGTCTTTTGTTTCTTTTTTAAATCTAATAAAAGCCTTTAAAACGCATTTCATCAAGCGAGGCGTTCCTCATTAAAATGTTAGCCGAGAAACTAAGAACTGGCTGGGACTTCAAGAGATGCTAAATGCGGAATGAAGAGTGAGGAAAGCAGGATGCAGAATGCAGGTTGTAGGATGCTGTTTGCGGTTCTAACACCAAGGCTGCCGCTTAAAATAGAGTCAAAAGGGCAAAAAGGACGCCTGTGGAGCATGAAGCGAAATTAAGAGTAGCGCCAGCAACAAAGACTAGTTGTGGCTCCAAGTTATCGCGACGCAGCGAATTAAACATCTTTCATACAGGTCAACACTATGAGAAAATATTTAAAGTGCTCATGAAATATTGTTTCAAATGGTATTAAGTATTTTAGTTGTTGTACGCCCTGGGAAAACAAATATAAATGGACCAGAATTGGGCAAAATGATATTTATTAATATCAATTTTACTAGTATTGCATGGTAAGAACGATATGGCGTGTTTTTGTTTGTGTGCATTAATCTTTTAGTCAGATAAAATATTTTCAAATCTTTTT